TTTTATATACAGAGTCTGTTCTCCTTACCTCTACACTCCATAGGATCAATTTTCCTCATGCTCTATGCGTATCATCTATACGCAAGAATATTAATCCTTATTGATTTGAACAATCTAACCATTCAATAAAAGAACCATTAAGACATAAATGCACTGACCTCTATATATACAAGTACGCGTATATATAGAGGTCAGTGCATAAATGAGAAGGATGGACTTAAAAGGCAGAAATGGATGAGCTGACATAGATGATATAATTGTAATTTATTATTCGCGAAGGGTTTTGAATATAACCACAATTTAATATGGGTATGTTATAAAGGTCGAAACTGAGCACAACGTAAAAGAAGGCAATTCCATACGTTTGTTAAAAAACGAAACATGAAAAATAAAGTTAGCTAGGAAGGTAGGTACTATATTAACAAATCTGCAACATCATTTTGAATTTTCGACCAGTGAAAAATGTCATTTGATTTGCGTAATCTGATTTATCTGGTAGGTGTCGTAAAAGGCAATAGAGAGAAATGAAACAGCTGAGGGTAAGCAACATCTTCATTTGTTTATATGAGAGGGGGCAAATGAGCACGCGGCTCACCTAACCTACCTACCACCTACCACCTCCCATAAATAACTGTAACGCCAGGAGAATAGCATATGCATTGCCGGCCTTTTAAAAAAACAGCTCTTTTCATTGAATGTCCCTAAGACGTATCGATCTGGAAAAATTGATGGAGTTAGTTGATTCTTCAAGAAAAAAGTATGAGGAAGAAAACTTCTTGTAAATCGGGAGATTTCCGTGATGTGCGATGTTGAAATTGAGCGGCTGGAATAAGACCGAACAATCTGAGCACTCCCGTGGTAGATGCGATAACCGATCCGATCAGAAAGAATTCGGTCGCCGACGATTCGAACCGCTCTGCGCTGGATGCGATCAAGTGGAAGGAGCTGGTACTGGGGTGTCCTGGTCCAGAGATGAGAACAGCGTTGCATATGAGGCTGAACTTGCGTCTTGTAAATTTGCAAGCGGTGTCCCGTCCCTTGCTTATACTGTCCTGCTCTAATCCTAATGATCATATCCAAAATGATCCAAATGACCGCGGAACTGAGCGTCATTCGATATGTCGACGCTGAGAATGCCGATGCTAGCTGAAGCAACGTGGGGAGCGCCTTGAAACAGAGGAGACACGACAAACTGGTTCTTTTTAGCGGACTCGTAAACTTGTGTCTTCTGAAGATTGGAATGGACTAGAATTAACTTTACGAATTTACATTTTCGTTGAATTTACAACACGGAAAATCTACCTACTCGTACGTAGCTTTCCAAACGCTTAAAATGTTCTTCAAACAGAATATAATAGGATTATTCTTATTCTTGATTCCATGTAATTCTTATTGAAAGCAATGTTTTACTTTTACCACTAGTTCAGAAAAAAAAACCTCAGTCCTGGGAAGAACCAGCAAGAAACCCAGCAGGACTTTATTTTTAATATATAAGGTAAGCTTACAATATAATATTATAAAAATTGTTCTGAAAACATTTAGAACTAGCACGGTAACGATCACCTAACTCCCAGAGGTTATTACTTATTATTGTTACGCGCTCAAGTCGACGATACACTAGCGCCATCTAGTGTCAGGAACGAGAGCGAGGGGAGCATTGAGAAAATGACATCACAAATCACTCGACCGACAGCGCCACCCGAAGAACTAAGTTTCTGGAAAATCTACACTCGAATACTCGTTGCCTGGCGCGCATTTACTTGAATGTTCGGGACGCTTCTTTGCTAATTATATAAATAGGCGCTGCAAGATGCGATCGGGGCAGAGTTGAACTCGGCGACACAAGCGAAGCTTCGGAGCGGAATTAAGTGAATTAGTGTGTTTAATTATTAGTGTTTTTAGTTTTAATTTGTGTAAAGTAAATTAAAGTGTTAATTTAGGTAATTTTATCGGCAATTTTTATTGTCACGAACCTCAAGCTCGTAACAATTGGTGTCAGAAGTGGGATAAAATCATGCCGATTTTACCTAAGGAGGAAACGGAGGGTGTTCGTACCCGCAGTCAACGCCAGCATGAGACGGACCAGAGAAGATTTGGTGGTGCAACGCCGCAGACGTTGGAGGGCCAGCCGCCGGCAACGGAGGCCGGTTCGTCAGTAGCTCCTGCATCTACAGCACCTGATTTAGGCGCCCTGATGGTGATGCTGCAGGAACAGGTCCGTCAGTTAAAAGAGCAGCTGTAGAGCGGACAAGAGGAACAGCTCCGCTGACAGGAGGAACAGGCCCGTCGGTTGGAAGATCAGCAGGCGGAACAGGCTCGTCGGTCGGAAGAGCAGATGCTCCTCATGAAGGACCTTCACGCTACCTTTGGGAAAGAGATAAGGGAGGTGAAGGATAGGGTTGCTCAACATGACAACCGCCTGTCGGAAGCTGAAACACGAATCGAAGAACATGAAACCCGAATTGACCAAGTGAACAATCGGGTTGACAACGTAATGGCTGACATGAGGAAATCACTTGACGAACTCAAACTTGGGGAGGGAACTACAGCTTCCGTAGTAGCTACTACACCTTCGCTACGTGGGTTCAAGGTGCCACCATTCGACGGGACTTCTTCCTGGTCAGCCTACAAAATCCAGTTCGAGGCTGTTATGAAGGCGAACGGCTGGAATAAAAGTCAGGCTATGACTGCTCTCACACTAGGCCTGCGCGACCAGGCCTTAACAGTTCTGGAAGCTCTCGGTGAGGAAGTGACTTATGAGCAACTCCTTTAGGCATTGGAGGCGAGATATGGCGACGCTCACCTGGAACACGTCTTTCGTGCGCAGCTTAAAGATCGTGTGCAGCGCATCAACGAAAACCTACAGCAGTGGGCTCTAGAAGTGGAGAAGCTGGTGCGAAAAGCATACCGGTCTGTACCTGCGCTCATTGAAGGGAACCTGGTGCAGACATTCATCGACGGCATCCGCGACCTGGAAGTCAGAGCTGCTGTGAGGCTCGGGCACCACGAGACGCTTAAGGACGCCTTGGCCCATGCACTGGAAGTGGAAGCCGTGCGGCAGGATCATCGTTCCCATCGCGTCAGGGAGGTTGCAGCAGCTACAGTTCGCGACCGCAACAAAGGATACAGCCCAAGGTGCTATGGCTGTAGGGAAAAGGGCCATCTTCGATCCAGCTGCCCTAAACTAACCGTGGAAAGGAGAGTTGGTCGATCTCGAGAGGGTAGTACAGCTAACGGCACTGCCTGGCGGCGACAGAATCATCGTTCACCTCACGCTAGGGAGGTTACAGCAGTTACGGTTCGCGACCACAATAAAAGATACAGCCCTAGGTGCTATGGCTGTGGGGAAAGGGGCCATCTTCGGTCCAGCTGCCCTAAGCACACCCTAGGAAGGGAAGGTGAACGGTCTCAGAAAGGAAGTGCGGCTAACAGCACCGCCCAGCAGCAGCAGGAATGCGACTTTACTATCAGACACTACAGCGGGAAATCTCACGGCAACGCAGATGCATTGACAAGAAGACCTTGTCCTGAAGATTGCAACCATTGTAGTAGGCAAGAGAGTAAGGAAGTGGTATCCGTGAGGATGCTCAGGACAGACCACCTCAGCAACGGGTGGAAGGACAGCCTACGACATGCACAGCAGGAAGATCCGGACATCAAGCCGATTCTGGGATGGATGAAGGCCCGTGCTACCAAGCCTAAGTGGAGGGACGTCTCAGCGATGAGTTCAACCACGAAAAGCTATTGGGCCCAATGGGACAGCTTGCTGATTCAGGATGGTCGAAGGGACAGCTGTCGTTTGCAAATGGTTGTCCCTAAAGCTAAAGTGCCGAATGTTCTACAGCTGTGCCATAATGGTCGTTCAAGAGTCCATCTGGGAGTTAAACGAACTCTACTGAATGTCCGAGAACAGTTTTACTGGGTCCATTATCGTGACGATGTCGAGGATTGGTGTCGTACATGTACAAGTTGTGCGGCCGTGCGGGGACCTCAGACACGTAGTAGAGGAGCACCGAAATTGTACAATGTTGGTGCACCACGGGATAGAACAGCCCTTGACATTGCGGAGCCGTTACAGAAAGGCGCAAGAGGGACTCCTAAGATCGTCCATGTGGATCGCTTGGCGCGTTATTATGGGGCCGATAATGCTCGGGACGAGCATGTCTTAGGAGGGGGCAGTGTTACGCGCTCAAGTCGACGATACACTAGCGAGCGAGGGGAGCGTTGAGAAAATGACATCACAAATCACTCGACCGACAGCGCCACCCGAAGAACTAAGTTTCTGGAAAATCTACACTCGAATACTCGTTGCCTGGCGCGCATTTACTTGAATGTTCGGGACGCTTCTTTGCTAATTATATAAATAGGCGCTGCAAGATGCGATCGGGGCAGAATTGAACTCGGCGACATAAGCGAAGCTTCGGAGCGGAATTAAGTGAATTAGTGTGTTTAATTTAGGTAATTTTATCGGCAATTTTTATTGTCACGAACCTCAAGCTCGTAACATTATCAATCATGTATTCTTTACTAACATATCCCTTACTAAGCAATTTTTGCTTAATAATTATTTTTAACATTTTGTTATTGATCAATCATTATGGAAACTTTTTAATAGATAAAGTCTGCATATTTTCTGGGATTTTGTTCGTAAATCGATTTGCTGCCGACTATAAGATATCCCTTATAGTCGGCAGCAAATCGATTATAACCTATTGTTCTTCTTTAATGAGGAGCCGATTGAAATTGATTGCTTAATATTTATTGTCCTGCAAATGAGCATGTTCATTGTCTAACAAGTTTTTGTGACAATTTTGGAATCTATAAAAATATATTTTATCAACCTTACTATAATGATTTCTTATATTTACACGAACACTACACATTGATGCCCATGACCATGGGTGCTATAAAGCGCTCGAAACGTCGGGTATTTATAGTTAAATATACGCGATAAAATCCGTAAAAACTAGTATTATTTCAACTTTACTATAAATTTACAGGGAAATCAGAAAATGTGTGGGATCGTTTAACGCACACTCGTCCTGAGTTGATCGCTGATGGCACCAATGGGGACATTGCTTGCGATTCTTATAACCGTTACCTTGAGGATGTGGATGAATTAGCTTACCTTGGAGTCGACTTCTACCGCTTCTCGCTATCTTGGGCTCGGATCCTACCAACAGGTCGAGTCGATTATGTAAATCTGGACGGAATTCGTTACTACAACGCTCTCCTTGATGCTCTTGCGGAAAAGAACATCGAACCACTGGTAATTTATATATTTTAATCAATTAACTACCAATCCATATTTTACAATTGTGTAAACTGTTTATGGTACATATACTATGCCTAAATTGACGATTGTGGCAGGTAACATTATTCCACTGGGATCTACCTCAATCACTTCAAGACCTCGGAGGTTGGGCAAACCCGAAAATGGTTGATTACTTCCGTGACTACTCTGACCTCTGCTTTAAAGAGTTCGGTGACAAAGTCAAATCATGGATCACCGTCAACGAACCCTATGAAATTTGTGAGGATGCTTATGGCGATTTGAAGAAAGCTCCGGCTCTTGATAGTCACGGTGTGGGGAACTACCTATGCAGCGATACACTACTTAAAGCACACGCTGAGGTCTATCACCTCTACAACGATACCTACAGGCCAGTGCAAAACGGTAGGATAATGATCTCGCTCAACTCCATCTGGTATGAACCCAGCGACCCAAGCAACGCCGAACAAGTCGCCTTAGCTGAAGTGGCAAATCAGTTCAAAGTAAGTACGAATACGAAACATCTGAATATAATAAAATAGAATAGAATTAAACATTTTTGTTTAATATATATTACTTAATACACTTATTAAAAGTCATACTTTTTATTTACCACTGGTTCGGAAAAAGCATCTGTCCTGCGAAAAACTGGCACCCAACGGAATTAATATTTTTTGACATATTACTTAACAATAATTTTGTAAGTACAACTTTTTTCGATTAATTATAATAGAACCGCATGATGGCGATCGCCCCATTCCCAGGGGTTATTTTCATTCATACATTCCTTAATATTATAATACACATTTTTTCTTTAATAAAGCTTTTGATCTTGTAAATTGACAAATTTCAAACATTTTCTGGGATTTTGGTGTAAAAGCGTATATATACATTCGCCAATAAATAAATTACTAATTCTGTGGAATCTAGTAATCTGAGAAAAACTATATTTGTGTGTTTTAATAATTCTAAATTAAAAAAATCCAGTAAATTTATTGAAATTCTTTTTACCAGATGACAAAACAAACATTTTTTATAGATTTTATAACGAAATATACGTCAATCGTATCAAAGTTTCTTAAAGTCCAACAAATTTTTAATTTGTATAGTTTAAATTTAATCTATGAATGTTAACGTCAACTACCTAGTTATATAGTACTTAACGCTCCTATACTTACCACTTTTCAGTTCGGATGGTTCGCTCACCCGATTTTCACCGAAGAAGGTGGATACCCAGCGGTAATGGTAGAGAACGTAGCCCAACAGAGCGCTGCTGAAGGTCTTCCTAAACCACGATTAGAACAATTTGATGAATACTGGATTCAGAGGATCAAGGGAACTTCAGATTTCCTTGGTATAAACCACTACACGACACATTTAATAACCGGAGCAGGAGTCGATCCCACCGCAAAATCACCTTCTTGGCTCAAAGATATTGGAGCCGTAACAACTATGGAAGTCGGCGGTGACTCAGCTTCTGAATGGCTTAGGGTAATCATATGAACACTACTTCTTTTTAACATAATAATATTATAGTATACCTAACGAAATAGTTTTACCTTCGGATGAATGAGTTTTAATTTTCTGCCCACACTAGGTACAATTACTGTTAAACTAAATTAAATGCAAAAAACGTTTTATTTTGTAGTAATGCGAATAATATGGTTTGTCTTGGCTTCCGAAATAAGATAAAAAGTTCACTACTCACTCGTAGGTGTGCACGTGTGCACACACAAACATACGATATCAAACACACAAAGTTTAATATGCTGTCATGTTAATTAAAACGGCGACTTTTCAACAAAAATGCTACATTTGTGTAAAAATGTGGGATATAATATTTCTTAAAATTGTGAGGCTATGTTATTGTATTATATGTATTATAAGGTGTTATAACACCTATCTACTTGTATAAATATAAAAACGTTATTCGTTATATTTTTTCTTTAAATTAGCTTTATACTTTTACGTAATTTATTGGTTGAATATTTTTATATTTTACTAGCAGCAAAATAAATGTTTATACTTTAACATTACGTTCCGTTTAATCAATAACATTTTTTACTACTAAGTAAGAATGCCGTAATTATTGTTTTACAGACTTAATTTCAAATAAAGTGAATAATATTTGTATACATACATATTGACGGCCTCGTTGGTCTAGTGGTTGTAGTAGTGCGACTGCTGATCATGAGGTCCTGCATTCGAACCCTGGGTCGGGCCAAAAAATTTATTATTGAGTTTTTCCGTCAAGATATTCTCAGTAGTTGCCCAGAGTCAGGAAGTTGGCGGTGTCTCACCCCCGTGCCTCGGAAAGCACGTAAAGCCGTTGGTCCTGCGCATGATCTCTCTCCGGTCGTGTCGGTTTACCGTCCAATCGGATTATGAGAGTGAGGGAATAGAGAGTGCACCTGTGCTTGCGCATACACTTGGGCACTATAATCCTGTCCTGTGCCGATGGCTAACTTCCGTTGAGGCAGGCCGCCGTGGCCGAAATTCCGTCTGGAGGACATTATTATTATTACATGCAAAAAACTCTCATATTACTCATACGGTGTTCAAAACTAGTTTATTGTAGATAAGTTTACCAAAACAACTTGTAAACAGGTAATAATAATCTAGGATGTCAGAATAGCAGAAAAATCATTTTCTATGTTACTGTTATTATTTTATTGTAATCTGTTAAAGGAAGACCCATATTTTTGTCAATTTAAATGCTTATTAAAATTAACAAAAATTTTTTTTGTTTTTTGAGGAAGGGTGAGCAAACACACAAACTATCTAATGCGTAATTATTTGCATTACAATAATGTCTTAAGACTATTTTGAAGAACAATATCAAAAAGACTTAGCTTAAAACTATTATTTTAAAATCAAACTTATTCTTAACAGTGTTATTAAATTTCTTAAATTTTTCAATAAATAATTTAAATTAGAGCCTACAAGTGAGCACAGATAGAAACTTAAAAATTAAATACATAAAACTTTCGGAAGGAAGGAAAAAACAATTGAATGCTTTGGATGTTGCATAAAACAAATTCAGCTTTCTAAAATCAAACGTCATGAGTATAGTGTATTCTACAGATTTTCTTAAAACACGCATTAATAAATAATTTAAACTATCAAAAAACTTTTGCTTTATCAACATCGTAATACTTATGTCAAACTTATGACAAAGTAAGGAAAGTCCAAATTTTTTAAATATTGGTATTATTTAATTATAGTATTCTTAAAATTATTTGGAACTTTAATTTGTACAATAATTTTTAGAACTTTTTATTTTTCTACTGCCTGAGGCTCTTGTTTGACACATAATTTTTAAGATAAATATGTTTTCTCTAAAATTTAAAACCCAATATGTTTTATTGGTATTTAAGTCTCTTTAATTTTTTTTACTGCGTTTTCTTCTTCATTTGCTGTCTCAGTCAGATTTTACATAATGTTCTTGTTGTTGCTAATTATGTGCGCTTTGTCGTAGATCTCCTGTTTTAACAAAACATTTTTTTTTATTATTCCCGATATTTGGTTTTTTATTTTCTGCATTATTTTCTCTTTCATAACTTCTCTCGTCCACATTATACGGAAGATTCTGAGTTTTCTGAAGAATCTGCATTCTAGTTTACATCTAGAGAGTTCTGTATTCACCTCTATGATCTTCACTGTCAGAAGATTCAAAGTAAACCTATCTTCCGATTTTGGTAGTTCATAAAGTGAGTATCTAATTAAATTAAGATTTTTTTATTACTTCATTACCATGAAAATTAATTTGCATTTCTCCATAACCCTAGTCATATGTTCAAAAGCATAGAAGGTCTAAATTTTGTACAATACTCCCACAAGACTTGTATTGGTGGTCGTACATATATAACGCCTTATAATTTCGCCATTAAAATTGAATGGCAATATTGATAGCATTCAGTACTTAACAGCAACTTAAATAACGTGTGTTTCGATATCCTCTTTTTTAGCCTCAAACAACTTAGGTTTTATTCATCAATCTAATTGACTAAAATGTGGTAAATTTTATCAGACACAGGGTATTTTAGCTTATGTCTTTTATTTCTTTGTTTCCAATTCTAAGTACACATTATATATATATTTTAATATATTTTCTTATATATATATATATATATATTTATATATATATATATATATTATATACAATCACAATCTACCAAACAGTTGTGAACACAGTTTGTCGGCAGCAGCTCTCGCGGATCAATATTAATTTATTTATGTACTTTTATTAGTTTTTTCTTGATCTGACAAAGAAAGAACAAAAAGGAAAAATAAAATCAACAAAACTTATTAAACCACTAGAAAGTAAAAATAATAATAAAAAATTAAATAAACAATATTGAATATTGAACCTTACACGAATATAGCCATATAAATAAGTAATGCTTTCTCAGGGTATTTTTTAAAATCAATAAGGAGAATATCTCCTTAAACGACTCGTTTAAGGAGATATTCTCCTTAAACGAATTAAAGAAACTGGCGACGTAAATAAGTAAGAAATTAAATGATTTGCTTACTGATAAATACTGAATGTGTAAGTTTGTTTTCAAATTAGATTTATGTCCAAGTGTACTCAAAATAAAAAAATTGAAAATCGTTATTGAAGGTTAGAAGGAAGTTAAGAAAGATGTTAACAATAGATAGACTAATTTTAATATTTATAAACTTAATTAAAAATTGTTACAAAAAATTTGCTACTCAAATTTCAATTTTAATTCCTAGTTCCTTATTAGTTCACTGCTGTATAAACTTTAACACAAATTAATTAAAATTCAATAACACTATACATTTGCGTAGAAAATTTGCGAATTGCAGGTGTGTTGCAGGCCTTTTAGAAAGGAGTAAGGAGTAACTCTTTTCTTGAAGGTCTCTAAGTTGTATCGGTCCGGAAAAATCACCGGTGATAAACTATTCCACAGAGATGTCGTACGCGGAAGAAAACTCCTAGTGAAACGTACAGTCGTGGATCGCCAAGTATCCAGATAGTGTGGATGGTATCGGCGAAATTGGCGGCTGGGATTACTCCGAATAATTCCTCAGAGCACTCCCCGTGGCAGATGCAAAAGAAAATGCAAAAAGATGCAACATCTCTTCGCAGCGCCAGTGAGCACTACTTACACACACGCCTAGCTTTTTAGAGGCCAATTTATCCTTCTCTTCAAAGTGATCACGAAATTGCACGTCACTCGATATGTTGACGCCGAGGATTCCAATACTGGCTGAGGCAACAAGGGGAGTGCCTTGAAACTGAGATACGACAAAGGGGTTCTTTTTAGCGATAAACGCGCAAACTTGTGTCTTCTGAGGTTTAAACTGGACTGATTTAGTCGCCCCCAATCCGAGACTTTCTTCAGTAAAGACTCGACTTCAGACACAAGTTAGTTCCGGTACTCGGAGACGTTTTCCCGAGAAATATTAGCAAGGCCGGTGTATAGAGCATCACCAGTGCTATCATAGCAGTGAATGTTACTGGTTTGCAACATATCATTGATATGCAGCATAAACAGCGTTGGTGATAGCACGCAGCCTTGTGGAACGCCAACATTAATAGGCTTGTAATCGGAGCATGCACCGTCTACAAGCCGTGGTAGCTCAGATGGTTAACACTCGCTGTAAATATAACAGAACGCGAGTAACCCGGGTTCGATCCCCGCCGGTACCAACGAAATTGTTAATTGCAATTTTAAGTGCTGATTTACCACGTGCTCGGCGGTGAAGGAAAACATCGTGAGGAAACCTGCATGTCTGAGGAATAAGAAAAAAAAATTATTAAGAAGACATGTGAAGTTCGCCAACACGCATTAGGGCAGCGTGGCGGACACTTCCTTGCCCTAAAACCCTCTCAGAGATAAGGGGAGGCCTGTGCCCAGTAGTGGGACGTATATATGCTGTAACTTTACTTTTACCTTACTTTACCGTCTACAATGACCGATCCCGATCTGCAAGAAAATTGGTGATCCATTTGCACAATTTTCTGGCAAGCACAATTTTTGTTTTTCGATATTAAGGATTTTTAGTAGGACATGACAAAGGGTCGTCGAAAAGGGCAAAACAACGTCTGCCTGGCAAGCTAGTATATATACATATTATCTTTCTATTTTTTATAAAATAATTTATTTTTAAAGGAATGTTTTGTTTATTTGTACTAAAAACAACCTCACAACATCGTCAGCCTTTATTAACATACTAGCTGTTCTCCGTGACTTCGTCAACATATTTTGTTGGATTGGATTCCATGGGTTTTAATTTTTTGCGCGAAACTCAGATTTTTTGTAAAAAAAAGTAGGCTTAGATACCCCTTATAACGTCAGGTATTTGCCAGTTAAAGTCCTATCAAAATCGATCCAGCCACTTTGAACATTAACCGGAACAAACAGACAGACGGACACAATTTAAAAAATGTTTTGTTGTTACAAATACCGTATCAACTTAGTGCTTTCCGATCGGCTCGATTCACTGGCGCTACGAAGAGATGTTGCATCTCTTTGCATTTTCTTTCGGATATACTGCTGTGTGGAGTGCTCCGAGGAATTGTTCGGATTAATCCCAGCCGCCAAATTTCGTGAACGCACTACGCGGCAAACGTCCCGATACCATCCACACCATCTGGATGCTTGGAGGCCCACCACTGTACGTTTCACAAGGAGTTTTCTTCCGCGTACGACCTCTCTGTGGAATAGTTTACCACCGGCGATTTTTCCCGACCGATACGACTTAGGGACCTTCAAGAAAAGAGCTTACTCCTTTCTAAAGGGCCGGCAACGCACCTGCAATTCCCCTGGAGTTGCGGTTGATCATGGGCGGCGGTAGTCACTTAGCATCAGGTGAGCCGCATGCTCGTTTGTCCTTTCTTCTATAAAAAAAAAACAAAAACTTTCATATGCATTTAGTAAAAAGCTGTTTTTTTGATATTACCTGCAAACAGACACTTCAATTTCATTTATTTTTATAGATTTATAATAGATTCTCATACCATATTTTATAGTATTAAAACATACGGACGCCCAATCTTAACGCATAAATATCAGGGTTTGCAACCACGGTAGTCACCCAACTCGTAAATTGTATTAGTGTCGTAAGGGACTATAAGAATATGGTAGAAATATTTTATGACTTACATTGATGAGCGGTAGACCTTTACGCTAAGCGTAAAATATCAAGGAAGCAGCGTCAAAGCTGCGTCATATCTGTACGCTCGTTAATCCGCCAGCCAAACGTGACGAGGATAAATCTTCCTTATAATGGGATAGCTCAATGTTCACCATTGGATTTTTACAGGCTGATAAAGAAAGAGAGAGAGAGAGAGAGAAGGAAAGAGGGAAAAAGAAGAAAATATTTATCAATATAAACTCTAATTTACAGGTGGTGCCAACTGGTTTCGCTAACCTACTCCGCTGGTGCAAGAGCTCTTACAACGATCCACCGATTTATATCACTGAGAACGGTTATTCAGACCGTGGTACTTTAGAGGATTACGGACGTATCAAATACTTCAACGTAAGTTTTATATAAATGTGTGAGCGGAGATAGCTATAGAGATAAGCGCTTGTCTTAAAATCATACCTAGGAACACTACGCTTATTTTTTTATAGAAGAGGGGGCAAACGAGCATGCGGGTCACCTGACGGTAAGTGACTACCGCCGCCCATGAACAATCGCAACACCAGGGGATTTTTAGATACGTTGCCGGCTTTTTAGAAAGGAGTAAACTCTTTTCTTAAAGTAAAAAGTCCCTAAGTCGTATCGGTCCGGAAAAGTCACCGGTGGTAAACAATTCCACAGAGAAGTTGTACGAGGAAGAAAACTCCTAGTAAAACGTACAGTAGTGGACCGCCAAGCCAAAATGGTGAGGATGGTATCGAGAATTTTGACGCGATGTACGTTCGTGAAATTTGGCGTCTGGAACTAATCCGAACAATTCCTCAGAACACTCCCCATAGTAGATACAATAGAAAAGGCAAAGCGATGCAACATCCCTACGCAGCGCCAGTGAATCGAGCCGATCAGAAAGAACTCGGTCGTCGACGATTCTAATCGCTCTGCGCTGGATGCGGTCAAGTGGAAAGAGCTGGCACTGGGGTGCCCCGGTCCAGAGAGGAGAACAGTATTCCATGTGAGGCCGAACTTCCGCTTTGTAAAGTTGCAAGCGATGTGCCGGCATAAAATACTGTCTCACTCTACTGAGCACGCCAAGCTTTTTAGGGGCCAATTTGGCCTTCCTCAAGTGGGCAAGAAACTGCACACTATTCGATATTTCGACGCCGAGGATTCTGATGCTAGCTGAGGCAGCAAGGGGAGTACCTTCACACTGAGGAGACACGACAAAAGGGTTCTTTTTAGCGGTTAAACTTGTGTCTTCTGGGGATTGAATTGGACTAGATTTAGTCGCCCCCAATCCGAGACTTTGTTAAGCAAAGACTCTACTTCAGACATAAGTTTGTCCCGGTACTCGGCGACGATTTCCCGAGAAATATTGGCACGGCCGGTGTATAAGGCATCACCAGTGCTGTTGTCCGCATAGCAATGAATATTATCAGTTATGTTGCAAACATCAGTTAAGCTGCACTGATGTGCAGAAGATACAGCGTTAGTGATAGCACGCAGCCTTGTAGAACACCAGCATTAATAGGCTTGTAATCAGAGCACGCACTGTCTACTACGACCGTAATGCTCCGATTAGCAAGAAAACTAGTGATCCAATCGCACAATTTCTCGGGAAGTCCATAGGAAGGGAGCTTCGAAAGAAGTGCTTTTTTTTGCGATCGAAGCCTCCCCCTTAGACTCTACTGCCTCCGCCCATCTATGAGTAAGGTAGACCAGAAGATCACCAGGTGATCAACCACGATGGAAACCGTATTGGCGGTCACTGATCAGCTGGTGATCCTCAAGCTACCTCATGAACTGGCAGTTTAAAATACTCCATTATTTTGGAGATCAAGAAGGTGATGGCGACAGGCCTGTAGTTGGACTGGTCTGAGCGGTCGCCTTTTTTAGGGATCGGGTGGACCAAAGCTGTCTTCCAAGAATTCGAGACTACGCCTTGTGAGTAGGAATACCAGAAAAGACGCGTTAACACCGGTGCCAACTCCGGAGCACACGTCTTCAGCACAATGGGAGGGATTCCATCAGGCTTACTCGACTTACTGACGTCCAGGGAGAAGAGTACTTTGCAAACCGAGCGCTGTGTAAACCGCACATGCGGTATGGAGCACTCACACTGCGGAATGGTCGGCAGTGTGTTTCTTCCGTCTTCGTGAGTCGATTTGGACGCAAAGAGAGAGCCTAACAGATCAGTTTTCTCCTTTGCAGCATGGGCCAGTGAGTCGTCCTCTCTGTGCAGAGATGGAAGAGATGACTGATAGAAGTTCCCTTAGACAGCCTTGGCGAGAGTTCAGAATGCACGGGTTCTCGAAGGAAGGCGAACTAGCTTCTCGCCAATTCTGCCGATGTGCTCATACTTTGCCTTGGAAATAACTCTTTTGAAGGACCTGGAGGAGGAATTATACTTCTTTTTAAGAGCGCTGATGTTTACATCCCGAGACGTTGATACGTCAGCCCAGTCTCGGTAGCACTCCTGCTTATAGCGTGATGCTATTTTACAGGAGCGACTAAACCATGGCTGGAATCTGCTTACGAGGGGCACCACAGAGGACGGAATGAAAGTTCCATACCCTGAAGGACCACATCAGCGACAGTATCGGCAACAACGCTAGGATCGGCCAGCGAGAAGCAAACCCGCCCCCAAAAGTAGGATGCAAAAAAAGACCGCATCCCATCACAATCGGCCGACCTATAGTGACCTATAGTACAAACAAACTCCAGCCCGGGGCACAAAGGAGTGTTATAGTTTGTACCCCGGGTAGAAGAGATATGAATATGATATGAAGTATCAGTTGGAGAGGACACCTGAGTCTCGGTTAAAAAAAGAGCAAATCCAACTTCTCCGTCTCCAGATGGTAGTGGACAGCGTTAAGGTTGGAATGAAGTCCGCTAATTGCAAAAATTCACGGATACCGTGGTAGGGGTCGCCTTGGTGTTGTTGCTCCAGTTGCTTCGAAAAGTTTTTGTCGCGAGCAGAATTGCAGGTGGACTGAGTGCTCGTTTGTCACCCTTATTCTATAAAAAAATATAATATTTTCATTCAATATTGATTACTACATTTTTTTATTTAACACTGGTTCGGAAAAACTTCCATTCTAGGAAGAACAACTACATATTTGGCTTCTATGGTATCATGTCCGGTAGATACCAGATTCCGATTATCTTTTGCGTGACGTTAATGAAGCTACACATAACATATTATGTTTTCTGATGGAAAGAGTATACTCAATAATATATATAAAAATATATGTATCGACTTCACTTATCATAAGATCTAATTTAAATGTAACGAATGGTACCACTGCAAGGTATACATCTCCAAATAAAAAAAATCAGTTAAAGTAATTAACTAGTACCACAGAATAAATAATAGTGCAAGCTAGTACTTCAGATACATATATATCTCGTTACTTACATTAGAAAAAGAAAATACAGTCGAATTGATAAACTACTGGCACCCTCCTTTTTGATATTATGTGTATTGTTAGAAAATAAACAATAGCCTTCCACAAGTCCTTTAACATACATACATCGAGTATGTAATGACTGCTAACGCAAACTCCTACCCACAAACTACCTAATAAGAGTACTAACGTCTCCTACCCTAAGCTCAACTCCTACCTTGTGAACCGGTGTAGATTTTGATGACGTCCATAAGAGCTTTAAACATCTCTGAATAAGAAGTTTTTACTTTTGACTTTGACTACCTACCCACATCAAACTTCAGACTATTTGAGGAAAAGAGAATATAATCACAACGCTTAGTTTCAGGCAAAGCACTATTACTCTCTACAAAGAGCTTTCAGGACACACGTATATATACGAGTATTATGGCTCAGGCCTTTTATTTGTTTCTGTGCTGAGGCTATAAGAAAGATGCACGTCTTACGCGCAAAGTGCGTAGGTATGCTCTACGAGCGCCTAAAAATCAAGAATCCGAAGTTTTGTCGCATGAAATCGTATCTAACAATCATATTGAACATATAAATGATATAAAAAGCACAGTGTCAGAAAGATAAATGTTTATTGGACTTATTTTTTTTTATCGATTTAATTGCTATTTTACATTATAAAAGTGGTTTTAGTGGCTTATGGTGTAGATTTATCAAGTCCGCATAGAGGGGTAAATACTTTTGAAAATATCAATTTTTCAACTGATTCTCTTTTTTAATTCAATCTCTTCATCTATCATGCGGGAAGCCATGGAATGTAATTGGCATTTTAATTTTGTTATGTTTAGTTATAATTAATTTTTTTCGGCTGAGAAACTCCAAAATTTTTCGTGTCTGAGCAGTTTGTAATAATATATTTTACTAAATACACTTTGAGTTGAGTCTGACTCACTCCGGGCCCGGCCGCCGCGAAATACTGGTTATGAATAGGTGAAACACTTTTTGAAAACGTAATAAAGTTGATGAGATTTTTTTTTAGTAACGAGTCAGATAAAAACTAGTTTTTACGATAATGCCTAAATACCTAAAAATTTAAGTAATATTAAAGTTGACTTCTGATCGTTTTAAGATAATTCTCTAAAAAGTTTTTCAATTAACAATAATAAAAAAATTTAATTTCAACAAAAATTAAAGTAAGTTACAGCCTGTATTCAACAAAAGTAATATAACCTAATAACATAACCTGATAATTAAAAAATATATTTTCTATTGTTGATTGATAATTTTTTTCACAATTTTTCACGATCATATGAGTATGTGAGTCGTGTACTTTTGGATTTTCCAAACTTTTTTTATTGGCGTTTGACCTAAAATTATCGGAAAACTACAGTATAGTAATAAGGTTATTAGTTAAAACTTGTGTGTGTTTAAATACTTTAAAAAATTGACGTATAACATGAGCTCTTAAGGCGTGTACATTTGGATTTACAGTTTTTTTTTTCTTATTATGTATATTATTATAATATATTGATTAAAACTACTTTTACGGATTTTATCGCGTTTTATTTATTTTTAATACCCGACGTTTCGGGTGCTTTCCAGCACCCATGGTCACGGGGGACTGAGGTGACTGACGTCCCGATGTCAAAGTTAACCCGGAGTACCTTCAGCTTTTTAATTATTGTCTTTGGTCCGATCTACGCAGAATGAACTAACCTTAGAGCATACATTACATGGAGGGAGCACTGTGTGAGCAGAAAGCGTGATCGGCGTAGAGAGAGAGACTGAGTTTAGGTAGATTGAATGAAATGAAACAGCCAATGACAGTGACTGTGCGGGAGAGACAGACTCTACCTAAACTCAGTCAGGTAGAGTCTGTCTCTCTCGCACAGTCACTGTCATTGGCTGTTTCATTTCATTCACTCTACCTAAACTCAGTCTCTCTCTCTCTACGCCGATCACGCTTTCTGCTCACACAGTGCTCCCTCCATGTAATGTATGCTCTAAGGAACTGACTGTGTTTTGCTGTGTGGTGTGTTCATTCTGCGTAGATCGGACCAAAGACAATAATTAAAAAGCTGAAGGTACTCCGGGTTAACTTTGACATCGGGACGTCAGACACTTCTGGTTATAAAAAAGATAATCTATGTCAGTCACCTCAGTCCCCCGTGCCCATGGTCACGCTACAAAGCACCCGAAACGTCGGGTATTAAAAATAAATAAAACGCGATAAAATCCGTAAAAGTAGTTTTAATCAATGTATAATGTCCGCATAAATATAAGAAATCATTATTATATTATATTATATTATTGATTCTGTGCTCTGGCTTATAGCAAGTAAAAACAAGATTTGGTAGATTATTTTTTTATGCTTACTAGCCTAACAATAATAATCCTATTTACGTAGGTATATCTAAGTATTATCAATCATGATTTTTATAATTGTTTCCTGTGATTTAACAAGCTTTGAATGGCTAATACTGTTTAAATAACTAACCACGTTGAACAAATCTAATATCCACTGATTTTATCGTGGTTACATTAATTAATTTAAAATTCTAACGTAACGTGGTTACTTTAATTTAGCTTGTAGCATCCATGATTAACAACATTGGTAAAAAATATGAAATTATTACATAGATAAGCTTTTAATTTGAAAGTTAACTTCGAGGAATTTTGAACATCTACTTTTTCCTTGCAGGACTACCTTACAGAAATATTGAATGTTATATACGAAGACGGCGTTAAAGTTCTGGGATACACGGCCTGGACGTTAATGGATAACTTTGAATGGAGAGCTGGCTTCTCGTATGTACCTTTATATAAAACCGTTACAGTGCTTTACATTAATTAGTAACTTTGCGGATTACATTTTATAACAAGTATTTATTATGTAATGACAAAGAAGTGGACTGTTAATCCGGTTAAGGATAAGTGGCCCAAGGGCACGTGCAACAAACTCCAATGAAAAAATGCATCTAATTCTTGAGAACTAAGATGAAATACTTACCTCGGAGACTGCTTAGTGCTTATATTGGCTTCCTTACGCATAGTGGATATTTCATCAAATATCCACTATGCAGAAATAACGTGATTTTAAGATGTTTGGTCATTTATAAAGATCAAAATTGTCTTATGAGATGTGTAGTATGATTACTCAAACAAATATGTTCACAGAAAATCAAATTTTAATATCAACTTGTATATCTACGAAAAAAATTTAAGTAAAATGAACTGCAATTTTTTCATATCAAATGTCTTTTGGTTTACATACAATTTGACATAGAATCTGATATTTCTGAACTGATTACACTCTTCTAATATTACTAAATATTGTAATAATATCTACATAAAATTTAATTAAATGAGTAGAGGCTCGTTGGTCTAGGGGTATGATTTTCGCTTAGGGTGCGAGAGGTCCCGGGTTCAAATCCCGGACGAGCCCAAACTTTTTTAAAACATTTTAAGAATATTTTGTCATATTTTAAAATAATAGTAGTATTTTCAAACTTGAAACCACTTTTTAAACATTGAGAAAATTTAATGTTATGAACATGTTGCTTCTCATTCGCAGCGAACGCTTCGGATTTTATTACGTAGACATCACAGATCCCAATAGGCCACGCACACCAAAGTTATCTGTAGAATATTATAAAAAATTGATTGCCCACCGCGAACTGCCCCAAGATGACCGCTTCAAGGATCCCTTGGTAAGCAAACATGATACACTCAGAAGGTATGAGACGTATGAAACGATACTGTTAGTTTTTTGAGTGCTAAATTGTTGGACTAGAGGCTACCCATCTAAATAATATTGCACGAGGTAATAATTCAAAAATGTTTACGTTATCGATTCCGCTATGTGCGAAATTTATAATTTTAATCATTGCCTTCAATATTCACGAGCAAAATTCGCAAATATTTGTCAGATTTGCATGATTTTTTTTTTTATAAAAAGAAATCCATCAACAAACTGCTTATTAATAAAATGTCTTTTCTTATGAAGAAGTTTGGCATTATAGGCTCAATATGAAATTATCTATCCTCTAGTGCAGTGATTCCCAAAGTGGTCTATATCGACCCCTAGGGGTCTATGACAACCTGCAAGGGGTCTACGTCAGCGAAAAAAAATTTGGGGGTCCATGAAATGAAAATGGGGGTCCACGATAGTGGATCTCAACACTTACACTGATAGTACCTATATACTTACATCATACTATCTTATAATATCAAAACATATACATTATTTATAAAAGATTTATAGTTTATTTTATATTTATTTAATGTTACGCATATTTTACATAACAGATACAAAATTATTTTGAGTAGTTTTAATGTAAATTCAATTGATAAATGTATAAATTAACATGTGTTTTTACTTTAAGTTTTTAACACTAAACTTCACTACAGTTAGAAATTTACAGGAAGTCAATATCAGGTAAGTAGGGGGTCTACCCAACACGGAAAAACGTGGCAAGGGGTCTACGACACAAAAAAGTTTGCTCTAGTGCAATAAATAGTCAGTAATAGTCAGTTAGTCTAAGGACATTTATTTATAATCTACGTTCATTTCATACGCCATTTTCGTGTGAATGTTATTTTGTTGATTTTTGGATTTTTCTAGTGTTTTATTGTTGTATTATGTATATTATGTATTGTATTATATAATTGTAATGAAAGTTTTTGTTTGAATATAATTTATCTTTTTACGTAAACAATTTCGATGAATATAATAGTGATTTTTACGCTGCCGACTTGCGCTTGATATGTACATTTTTTGTTATCAAAATACAATATATTTTTTTGTAATGAAGTAAAACCACTAAAAACAAGTAATATAACATAATAAATAAACAGAAACAATTATGTTGAAATTTATAATGAATTTTATTGAAAATAAATGTACGACAAATTCCATGTAAAGATATTATTTAGGTTATTATTTGCAACGCCCGGTCACGCGAAGCGAGCTAGCGGTGTCAATCGTTTTAGCTTAGGATAGAGGGGTTAATAAACATCTTTGGACATTTTAGCAATAAGCAGTTTGTTGCTGGATTTTTTTTAATCATGCAAATCTGACAAATATTTGCGAATTTTGCTGGAGAATATTAAAAGCAATGATTAAAATTATAAATTTCGCACATAGCGAAATCGATAACTTTTATCTTTTGTTACTTTCCGAGTAACTGTTGTTTTATCTTTATTATTGCGCTTACTGTAACAAAATTGAGTAAGTTTTTGTTTTTACATGCATTTTTAGCATTATTTGTTTCCTAAAAAGTATTCTTAAAAATATGTATTTCTAGAATACTTATTTTTACATACCTATTTATTTATGTCTGGAAATGCAAATAAACACTTGTTACTTATTATAAAATAGTTACGCTTATGCCTATGCACGGGCTCTTAACTATAATCCTGCATGGCTGTAAGTGGTGACATAGCCTAAAGCAGCTTGATTCTTGTCTTGAAGATGCCAAGACTGTAATTTGACGCAAGGACAGAAGCTGGTAGATGACTCCACTCCTTTACTGCACGCATTATGAAAGACGAAGCAAACCGTTTGGTTAGAATGCATGAATATGGAGAGCAAAGGAGTGAATACCCACCGACCGTCAGGATTGTGGATATGCGAGTGAGCAATTAAATGCATGCAATTCTTGCGCACACATGTATTAAGTACTCGTAAAATTTATGTTTCTGAAACTCTCACTAATTTTATGCAGATTGCCTTGATATTATTTTTTAATTTAGTTTACATAAGGTCGGGTAAAAAGTTTCTTCACATTTTATATATAAATTTAGACATTTTCTTTTTTGTAATAAAACTTCAGAATGTATGGAATTTCTTCGTTAGATTCATTCTTTTTGGCGGACAGAAAATCCATTTAAAAATGGCGGACAATTGTTTTTTACTTTTAATTTTTGTTAATGTCCTATATATACTGATATTGAAATCAGCCAGATACGAACAGTACAACCAAAGAGATATTTCTTCAATTTTATTTTATACCAACTAAACACGAAGAAGTTTTTTCCCTGGCCTATTATTTTATTGTAAATAGAGCAAGTGCATGAAGTTATAGTATAGTATTTCTAACATTTTAACAGGTGAGGAGATCGTAAAGCATGCGGTGTTGGATCTAAGGAATTGATATTATTTATTAAATAGACTTGATCAATAAACAATTTGTTTCTTTTTCTACAGCAAATATCCAAAACCGAACTATAATCTAAATGTGAAAGAAATTGAATAATGAAGAATCGAAATGAAACATATGATAGATATTGAAACAAATATTTATTTAGTTCATATCAAATTATTTACAATGAAATTATTGCAAATTAAAATTAAATGACATTTGTAATTTCATTGTTATAACATTGATAAACGACGTGTTATATTATATACACTACATAGAAAACTTGCATCTGTTGTCAGACTAAAAAGATATGTTTTTAATTAAGGCTATCTTAAGAAATAACTATATAGTTTTAACTTGATATATTGTTCAGCATATTATTCCTTCATAAGCAGTGCCAGAGGCTTCTACTGATAGGTTCCAGCGGCGAGCAAACTGTTAACAACATGGAATGTTTCTCATTATGTCATTATAGGGAGAGCGAAGTACGTAGATAACCCTGCAGTACTGATCAACAACAGCAAGCAAAATATCCTTAATAGTTACTAACTGCTAGGGAAGTGAATAAAGTTGGCATAACGTTATTGGTTTCATTTGTTTTAACGACTTGTCTTATCATCCTTTGGCATTCATGTTATACAAAAATAGATGCCACGAACTTGCTTAATTAGTATAATTTTTAGTTAGCTTAGTCCCTAGAACACTGGTTATTCCTAAAGATTACTACTTCCTATCCTTGCACTCCCTAGCAGCTATACAGATCAAAACTGTGCCTAAAGTTGTAACAAAAATAACATTTATTTAAATAAAAATTCAATCGCTCCCACAGATACAACCTTACTTCTGTCAGTTCGATACAATCTAATATCTAAAGGTAAGAAAAGAACAGCGTTAAGAATAATGAACCGAACAATATGAAAAGCGTAGTAACTTAAAATTATAAGAAATAATACACGACAAATACAAAATAAAGTACAACGAATGGATCTACAGGGTACAAAGTTACATGTACCATAAACCCAGCACCGTAACACCTAATTACAATAGTTACAAAGTTGCTAATAATTGCTATATTATAACATAACATTGAAGATTACATTAAGTCTTATAAGAAAAATAGTACTTTTACTAATATGGCAAAGTTTTCAATGTAGCATTTTATATAAGGCCTAATTTGGATATTTTTAAATCGAACTAGCTGAAGTTAAAAAAATAGACTAGGTGGGTTTTAATTACGATTTCCATATATTTCGCTGCACCAGTAAACTTCAAGGATAATTTCCAACAGGTTCAACGATAGTTACAGGAGTATTTTAATGTTAAGCATGTGACAGACATACTCATGTTGTAGAATACAATTAAAATGTACGAAAATAATTTATTGTTGGCCACAAATGTTCGCAGTTAGTTTTAGCGTAATGAAAACAATACTATTGCACACCTCCGTGGCACAGACGTGGTTTGAAATGTATCTACAATTTCCAAGCGAGCTCATTTAAAAGCTGTAAGACTCTCGCCAGCAGCAACCGTTCATAACTATGGTTATTCGCTAATGTTATTCACCTAGTGGCACTTATCCACATGCATGAAAATACGTCGCCCACTTCGAAACATACATTACAATATATTCTTAATATTTAAAAATAATAGTTGCCAAAATAACTATCTAGGTCACGTTTTAACTAACTAGTCTAACCATAATCTCGAAAAATACACAAGGACGGTGTAAGTAGACAAAACACGATATTACAACAAGTACGTAAGTAGGTTTTAATTCTGACCACTTAGAAAAATTACATCAATAATGTCACCAATACGTGTAGAAATACTTCAACTATATCTTATATTTAAAAAACCACAATAAATAATTTTTATAAAGGCACAATAAGGCACTGTTACGTCAAGATGTTATCACAATTTTATTATTTATCGATAAAGTTGTTATATCGTCATCATCTAGTATCGTTTAAACTGAATCTCGAGGATTTCCGATAGTCTTAAGACGAAAGAGTACGGAAAACCTATCTTACAAGAAGTTTGAAAGCAGTGCAAGAGTTCTCCTTTCAGCTAGGAAAGAAGTTTTTGCAAAAAGCACCAATGTTTATTCACCTCCATTGAAATTCATTATTTTACACTGTTTGGGTTTTAATAATTAGGGTTCGCTGTGTAAGTTAGAATTTAGGATACAATGGAGACTGTACACAGATATTAATTTTGATTCATTATAGTTTTGGTATAAGAAATGCCCTCAAATTATAAACAATCACATGACACAAAACTTTGAGTAAACGAGAAGTTTTAGATTATTCCACACATTTAATTTCAGACAACTCATAACACGAAGATACATCAAATACAAAGTCTTAATTAATATAATTTTATATTACTATCCCATTCAAGTAAATGCTGAGATGATTCCAATTTGACGCATGTTCACCGAAGTGTAGCAGCACTTGGTCGTTTCTAGCAGCAAAAAATGTACGATTCACACACGAATGTCATTTCATACACACTATGCTAGTTATTGTCATTTTCTGAGTGAAATGTACACCATCTTTACCGTCCTGTCATCTCCACTTCTCGGTCGAAGTGGATGTCGTTCAAGAACTACTTCGATCAACCAAACAGTACGGATACGGAAGTATTGAGATATGATTGTTAGCATGCATTTAAAAATCAACACGGATACAGTACGCATCATTTATATTGGTGTAGCAGTGGATCGCTAGTAAAATAATTGTAATAGGCAAATTTCAGTAGATATATCTCTGTCACATCACGTTGTAATATTTCCAATCGTTCCGTCGGTCAATCTAAAATGGCCCTTAAACGGTAAGTACTAAAATAACAGTTTAATACAGAGTAATTGTAAAAATTTATTTTGTATGCACCTACAGCCAAGTGAGAACATTGTCGGCCTTGCTCGGTGTTGAATTTATCAGGGATTGTACATCGTCCAGTAGTATGTCGTTGGTGAATTCGCCTAGCTGAAAAGAAAAAAATAACATGTAGGTTTTCTTTATACGTAAATGTTTAAAGTAAAAGTAAAGTTACGTCGCACAGCTGGGCAAAAGCTTTCTTTAGCTTATTTTAGCCTTTTTTTATAGAATAAGTATGACAAACGAGCACACAGTCCACCTGATGGTAAGCAGATGCTGGGGCCCATAAACATCTAGATCTATCTTCGATTAAGGATCAAAATGCAGATGCGTTGCCACCCCTGAGGATGGAATACCTCGTTTCCAGTAAAAACGGTCTCCTGTTTTCTACACTCACCATACGAAACACAGTAGCATTAAGCTGTTGAGTTGATCACTTTATTTCGTTACGTGGATATAAGCAAATTAATTTCATACAATTAGAAATTGCAGAAAACATCAATTTTACTTTTTATTTTTATAGTTGCAGTCCCAAGTGATTCATATATGAAGGATAATAGCAAAGTACAATAATCTACTTCACAAGTTAGGAGCGCAAATTAATATTATACATTTAGGCATTTTTATTTATCTGTAATCTGATAATATAAGAAATCGTAAATTTAATCCTCACACTCGTCGAATATTTATAATCTAGTGAACTATTTGAAAATTTTAAATAGGTACAGAACTAAATTAGTGGACTACTTCATTGAACAAACAGATTATATAGCGAAAAGATATAACTTACAGTAATAACATACATGTAAGATACAATGAATAAATCGCTGCTTATTAATGACACATATTTGTGTATATCTGAGAAACATAAAAGGATATTTAATTTCAAGGGTTTTAGAACAAGGAAGAGTCGACCACACTGCAACATTGCGTAATCACATGTCCTTAAATTATATACATATTTCAACAAAATCAACAATTCCATTTTAGTCAATTTTATTTTTGATATGAAAACTTCTTATTGTCATTTGAAACTCTATGAAAAATTGAGTTTGAGTTTAAGAAAAGAAAAAGCGACACTAAAGAGACAAGTATACTTATAGGTTTATCTATTCGATTTAGCCTAATATTATCTCGGTCTCTTTTTCTGAAGGTTTCACTTTTACCGCGTGTGAACTGCACACGTTTTATCGATGACAAATAATTTACTCATGAGTATGAATTTTTTGTCATTAGCGCTATCAGTTCATGTTTAATTCTGTCATTATCTCCCATTTCAATGACCAGTAATAAATAAATTGTAATGAACAGATTCTTCCTAGTCGTAATTACCACGAATGGTTCGGTATGAGGAACACAATTAAACTTGCCGCTACTGGTGAGGATGCCAAGTTTCACTTATCCCACGAAATCATCCAGCCATGCAGAACATTGACAAATATTTTAAGCACTTTATTATTTATTTCCAATAAATGGCTTATTTATAAAATGTGAATAGTTATAAACTTATTAATTACTACATTACTGGTAGTCCAAGAAATGAGCGTATTACGCGAGCCAACAACCTAGTACGATGTGGATTGAGCAGCAGCAAAAAAACATAAATTTCAATTTTTTAAGTATTGATTCACCAATCGCTCGATGGTGAAATAAATTTCAACAAAAATACATAGTCCAACTCACCAACACGCTATTAGTTCATTTTATAACTTTGTTTCTGAGGTTATTTTTAAATTTTTTTAAGTTAATTTTTTTCCACTTTGACAAGTTTTAACACTTTGAGTAAATTAGGGAATATCAAAGTACAAGATCACAAAAATTTCATCCCCTATTTTTCCATCCTTAGGGGTGATTTTTTACATATTTTTTTATAGGTTATGGGTTACAAACGAGCACACAATCCACTTAATGGTAAGTGGATGCTACTATGTGGTCTGCTGGTGTGTTACATTTATCCTCGATTAAGAATCAAAATGCAGATGCGTTGTCACCACAGAGGATTAGACTTAGATAGATTTTCTCGTTTCCAGTGAAAAATGACTCCGGTACTTTAAACTCACCATACGAAACACAGCAGCATTAACTTGCTATTTTACGCTGGTATTCTGTGAGAGCGTGGTCCTGCCTCGGGCGAGCCCATCCATTCGTGCTACAACCATAATATAGCTGTTCTGTGGCTTTACTACGTATAATTTTTGTTAATATTTATA